CACGTGGCAGGTTTTCACGTTTTTCTTATTATGACTTGGTTTGGTTGGTTAATACTTGTGGTAAATATTTATCATAGTTTTACATCAGTCAAGTAGCAGTTTGGGGGAGGAAATACAGCAAATTCTATCCAATATACAAGGACAATTACGGCACAAGGAACGCATTTCTCAGACAAATTAAAAGCAATTTTGATTTGTCTAATCATAACTATTGTGTAATTTATTTTTATTATTTTTTTGCTCTTGATAACATTATGGTTGTGAATCACCTGGGATCCAGAATACACACTTCAATACTTTACGAAGATGTGAGTCTGGTCACTGGTGATTCTCAGTTTTCAGATGGGGATGATTGACAGGTGGATTAGCCAATCAGGGACATGCATGATTCGCTGTATTGGAAAAATAAAGGAAAAAATATCGCAGAGAACTGAAAAAATGTCTATATATCTGCAAAAATAATGAGTGAAGCACTAAACTCTGTTATTCTGAGGTGATATTAACTTTAGTTTATTTGCAAACAATGGTTGACTAAAGACTAGAGGTATGCAAAAATATCGATAGTCGTAACGTTTAATGTGATGATACAGTATCGATAACGTGGGCTGCTGTATCGATATATCAAAAACACTATTGGCATTATATTTTACTAAGTTATTTTGTTACAGCGCTACAGGTTTGTTGCTTGTTTAGAGGAAGGAAACTCGTTTATGCAACACATTTGACATTTTAATTTAATTAAATGAGCGTTTTTCATATTAATTTTGCACAAGAAGTGTTTTTTGACTTTAGTATCACAGCCATGATTTTGCTATTATTTTTAATGGACAGTATTGAATCGATTTGAAATATATCGTATCAAATAAATTGCTCACTGTATCGAGGTATGTATCGTATCGGCAACTTCTTAATGATACCCAGCCCTACTAAAGAGCTCCTTCCATCACATTTCACTAAAAAAAAAAAAAACACAAAAAAATCCAAACAAACTAATCTGACTGCATGATAACGTTTGACCGGTTTTGAGATTTTGCGGAGGGCGTGGGGACCAGACTGATAAGATTCTGTTTTCAAAAAAATACAGCGAGTTATCATTCTGAATCAAGGAAGCTATGTAACAGAACTGGAATTACCTCCATGTCTGTCATCTCTGCTGCCAGTGTCCAAATAGGAAGTTAAAATATAAACTTTGCCAGAGTTAAAAAACCTAGACAAAACTAGGCAACAATTTAGGAAAATTTTAATTATATTACCCGTTCTGGTGAAAATGTACTCTAACCTGTCATATATGCACTTTAAGTAAATATTTAAATGTACAGGTTTTTTTTTTTTTCTTGACGTTGCATATGACAAATGATTAATCTTTACACATCCTGACCAAAAAATAAAAATAAAAATAAATAAATAATAAGTTGCAGCATTTTTGGTCAGTGTGGTTTAATCTTTTTTTTTTTTTTTGATTATTATGTGTTGTGTTTTTATATGTGTTTATTTATTTTATTTTTATTTTATTATTTTTTTGCGTTGATGTCTGTCTGACTAAGAGACTATGAACAATAAAAAAAAAAAAAATAATAATAATTTTAAAATTGCTTGTACTTGTAGGGTCTCTTCTGCAAAACTAGAAATCACCGATGAAGCAATAACAATTTTTAGACATGTCAACACGAGAATACAGCGTACACATCAACAAATCAGTGCTCACATTTATATATAAAATTAATAAAATCAGATTAAACCTCACCTGTTCTCATGCTTTTGCCTTACACAACAAAAGAATCAGATTGCCAACAACAAACACCATATATGCTGGTAAAAATAAACCGCATTTCTGATTCCGACAACCCGTAGTTATTTAATAATAGATGATTTAAGGTGTTCGGTCTTGTATTTTAGGAGAAATAAACAATAATACGTGAAAGTGATTAGCTGGCTCAACTTTGCTCGCACGAAGAGCAAGAAAACAAACAAAATCTGGCTGTAAAAATGATCGTACGCATTTAACTTGTCCGTATCTGGTTTTAAGATCGTACAAAGAGGTTAATCATGTGTTAAATGTGTAAACCTTACCGATGTCACCTGCTGTTTTCATTTTAATAACCCCACTGACGTTTTTTTTCCCTTTGTGTAGCCCTGTTTGCTAACGAGTACTAGCCAAAATGCAGCTGCCCAATCCGTGCATGTCAGGGTTTAAAACGATATAAAACGGGATTCGGGGTATTTCTGAAGCTTGGGCATGGATGAATGAACAAATGCAGGGGGAAAATGGCATGAAATGATGAGTAGATTGTGCGGGAACAGTTTGTCTCACCTTCCATCTCCCCCTGTGATGATTCTTGCTGCTCCTCCGCCATCTTAGCTTGCCAGATCTGTTTCCTCCAACATCACGTCATTCGTTACATACTTCCTGTCCAAAATAAAAATATGTTCTAGTTTTAATTGTTCATATATATATTTTTTATACCTATATGTTTCTATAATTCATTTTAATACGCTGTTTAATTTATTTTGTTGTTTTGTATTAATTATCTAATTATTGTGAAAAGACTGTTGCTGCTCTACAGTGTAAACCAGGGATGTCAAACTCATTTTGGTCCGGGGGCCGTATCGAGTGTTGGGAAGGTTACTTTTAAAATGTATTCCCCTACAGATTACAGATTACACACCTCAAAATGTAGTTTGTAATGTAATCCATTAAATTGTTTAAGGTGAGTAACGTAATCTCAATACTTTGGATTACTTGATTTGCTGTAGAGAAGCAAAGACGAAGAAATCTTCACATAAGATGTTTTGTTTGCTAAAAGAAAATGAAAAGCCCAGACTTTACTTAATCAAATTAAAAATATTATTGATAGAAGAGGATGAGACACGGTCCGCACGGCGTGGTTTAGTCCTGTTAAATCCTGTTTTAGGCCTGGTTTAGACCTGTTTTAGTCCTGGTTTAGACCTGGTTTAGTCCTGATTTAGACCTGGTTTAGTCCTGTTAAATCCTGTTTTAGACCTGGTTTAGACCTGTTTTAGTCCTGGTTTAGACCTGGTTTAGTCCTGATTTAGACCTGGTTTAGTCCTGTTAAATCCTGTTTTAGACCTGGTTTAGTCCTGGTTTAGACCTGGTTTAGTCCTGGTTTAGACCTGTTTTTAGACCTAGTTTAGTGTCCGGCAATGAGTTGAATTACCGTGAAAAAAAAAAAAAAAAAAAAGGGATATAGCCCCAAAATGTGAAAACAGGAAAATACTGCCGTGTAATCCATTTATTTCAACAAAGTAACTGTAATCAGCTGTAACTGAATACAGTTACTCATAATTTGTACTCTGATTACGTAATGCTGGTACATGTAATCTGTTACTCCCCAACACTGGCCGTAACTTTTTTAATTGATGAACTCTTTCTTTTACAAAATATTATCATATTATGAACAACCTGAAACTTTAAGAAAAATGCAATTTCAGCAGAATGTTTTAACACTAACTTGTATGCAAATAGGAATAAGTCCTCTTTTCTTGGAAAATCCTGCACTTGGCGTCCACTTTTCTCATTTTTGACATTTTGTTGATGAGGGTGTCACGGTCAACAGTCAAAACGATTGTCCTTTAAGAGCGTTGGAAAGAGCCAAGTCTTCATTTGTGTTGCTCTGGTGGGAGGGGCCACGTACAGAGACGCTGGAGACACTGCTATGCTAAGCGGCACAGAAAATTACCCATATTTTAATAGAAAATATAATTAAAATATTTTAGTAGATAATCAGCCGAGGGCCAGATTAAAGGTCTTGGAGGGCCGGATCCAGCCCCCGGGCCTTATGTTTGACAATCCCTGGTGTAAACAAAGATTTAAAAAAAATAAAAATAAATTCCCCTCTTACGCTTACTTAATATTTTGCTTTCTGTTCTCATTGAAAATATATCTATAGCCCAGTGAGTTGATCTTGACTTGAATTTACCCAGAAATAGCCTAACCCCAAAACCACTTTAATTCTGTATTTGGCACAGCAGGTGGCATTGTGGTGTAAAAATGCATACAATCAGGCAAGGCAAGTTTATATGTAATGCACAATTCGTAAACAAAGTAATTCAAAGTGCTTAAAAGTGATTAAATATAAATAATCATTATAAAATTAAAAAGAGAGATTAAATTAGAGAAAAGAGTGCAGAATGAAAAAAAAACAAACTCATTTTAAGCAGTTGTATTTATAAAGTTGAAAACACACTAATATTCAGCTTCAGTTCAGAACCTGACGGTGCATATACTGTACCAGTCAACAGACCTCTGGGCCTTCTTAACACAAAACACATCCACTGTGTGTGTTTCAAACTTCTAAAAAAACAAAAAAATATATATGATTAAGTAGAATACTGACATTTAAAGATGGCACTAAGTAGTAAGCTCCTAGCAGATCCTTGATTCTGAACGTCTTGTATCTTATATTTTGTGTGACTACAGGTTTAGTTATTATTTTTTTACTGCTTAAATGTAAATGGTCTGTCAGGATAATTTACCGTATCAATGAATCATTCAATAAATAATAAATACTAACAGTTGGAGCAATAATGTTTGAAGGTATTTCTGTCACTTTTTGTCATTTTTCTGCACTTAGATTTCAGTGTTAAACATCTATGAATGAAAAAAGCTAAGTTCCACGTTTGTTTGTGATGATCAGAAAATAACACAGACTAACATAGGCCCTTTAATAAGATTTGAGCTGTAGACAGATGAATATAACGCCTTTAGATATAAATAACTCTTTCATTCTCATTTTTGTTTTACTAGAGATTATTTTTTTCTTACAATTTTGTAAATTTAGAATTGTTTTTAGAATCCTGTGTTAGAGTTATGGCATATTTTTTTCCACTTCTCTACATTTTCTTTAGCAGACTTGTTATTGTGACAGAGAGAAGTGGCATTAGACTTGTTTTTTTTAGTTTTTTTAGGGAGGAACAAAAAAGAAGAACCTGACATGACAGGAGCAGGGAGAGCTCATCTATTTAAGAGCAGAGCAGTGATGGTCCTGCACACAGAGACTGGACTGGACCTGAAGTAAGAGCACCAAGTTTACTCTATAACTCAGTCTTGTTTTTACCCATATTTATTTTTTCTGCTTTAGTCCACAGACATGAAGACCACAGTGATGTTTTTGATGTTTTGTCTTGTGGCCATCACTGTTCTACCCGTGGAGAGAGTTAAAGGGGTGAGAGATTTTAGATATTTGTCTTGAATTTTGCATAATTACATGGTTTGGACTGATCTTCTCAATGTTTTTTTTTTTATGTTTACAACTTTGTAGATTTTAGATTAGATAGGAAAGACATCAAATATACAACGCAGTGAAATAACACAGTTTATACTCAAATCCTCAAAGCATCAACAATCCGTGTGTCATTTGTTCATTTTTCAAAATAAAACCAAAAATAAGAAAACGAAAAAACAATTTTCTTCATTATTTGTCTCCAAAACCAAAAAGAAAAACGGATAAGGATTCCTTTTTTCAGTTTTTGATTTTGTGTTTAACTGAAAAAAAAATGGATAACGGCCATTTCCTGTTTCCGTGACTTAAACTGAGACGCTTAGCTGAACCAGGATTGAATCGGGACTGAACCAGGACTAAACCAGGACTGAAACAGATCAAGGACCAGACCGGAACCAGACCGGGACTGAGACCAGGACTTAGGGTGTTTTCACACCGACAGTATTTGGTGCGCACCAAACGGTCCATTCGAACCAAAAGTGGTTAGTTCGGTTCGTTTGCGTTGGTGTGAAAGCGTCAATCGGACTCGGACCCGAACCAAATCAAGCGGACCGAGACCGCAAAAAAGAGGTGGTCTCAGTTCGCTTGAATCCACCAAATGACCAACTTTGGTGCGGTTCCTCTGGTGTGAACGCGAACCCGGGTCCAAGCCATAGACAGTATGGACAAACGGACTATTCGAAATGCATCATGGGAGGGACACGCGTCTCCTCTGCCTGAAGTGACGCGCTGTACGACTCCAGCGCAGTAACAGATTGTTGTCCAGACGCAGACGCGATTCATTTTCGAATCATTTTACCAACAATGGCCAATACAGAGAATGTAACACATGAAGATCAGAGCAAGTATCAGTGTGCGAACGTGTGGCTCCAGAGTGAGTCAAAAAGAGAAGCCCCGGTGTTCCCCGTGTTCACGTAGCAACCAGCATTTGTTATTTTAGGCTTTAATTTACCAAATAATCTCATGGCAATAGGCAATAGCCTATTTAATTGATATAACTTAACCTGTTTTTAGCCTAGTGTGAGAAATACAGTCGGACTAGATCCAAACCATAGTCCCGAACCAGCGGGGGCAGCTCCTGTTCAGGCCGGGCTCAGAGGAGCTGGAGCGGGGAGCCTCGACCTGAGGAAGCGCTTTCCCCGGGAAGAACCAAATGCGCCAAGGACGGACGCTCAGAACAACATATAACAAACCAAACTGGATTCACGCTTCTGTCCGGATGCTGCATTACCTCGGAACCAGCCGCGGTTCTTGAGCGCGGAGGACCGGAGTAGCCCGCACAGACCTGTAGGTAGTCCACAGCGCATTCTCACTTTCCCCACACAGAACCAGCGCGCAGATGACGGAACGTTCCCGCTTAGACCCAGTCCATCAAGCACTGGTCTTGCTCGCCACCGTTTGGAACCAGCACATGAAGGACAGAGCCTCCGGACCATCTGACCAACGCGCAGAAGACCAAGGACCAAACCCCAGCCCCGTCCTGAGGAGCTGCGCGCTACTGTTGCTGTTACCCGAACTCAGGACTGATGTGTGGTGAGTTTGTACAAAGTTCTACATGTTGCTGTTTTATGAGTTCATGATGATAATTTGAGATGAGGACGGCCCGTGGTTTTAACAGGAACATCGGTGTTGGTAACTGGAGTATCGCTGTTTTACCGGGAAACAGAGACACGTCAACCGAACCAATTTTGGTTCGTTTGCCGGTGTGAACGCGGACCACACTGGAGTGTATTTGCTACATAATAACAATTTTATTGCCTGGTGCGGACCAAATAATCGAACTAGCGGTGTGAAAACGACCTTAATTGGGACCAGACAAGGACTGAGACCAGGATTGACACCAGGAACAGGACCAGGACTGAGACTGGGACTAAGACCTGGACCAGACTGGGACTGTGACCAGGACCAAGGCTGGGACCAGACTGGGACCAGACCGTGACCAGATCAGGACTGAGCCGGGGACCAGGCTGGGACCAGGGTGGGACCAGACCAGAACCAGACTGGGACCAGACCAGGACTGAAACCGGGATCAGACCGGGTCCGGACCAGGATCAGACTGGGACTGAGACTGGGACCAGACCAGGACTGAGACCGGGACCAGGCTGGGACCAGGCTGGGACCAGACCAGGACCAGACTGGGACCAGACTGGGACCAGACCGGGACCAGACCGGGACCAGCCCGGGACTGAGACCAGGACCACACCAGGACCACACCAGGACCACACCAGGACCACACCAGGACTAAAAAATGGTTTAGTCCTGGTTTAGTCCTGATTCAGTCCTGATTCATCCAGCATTGCAGTTTAAGTCACGGAAACGGGAAACGGCTGTTATTTGTTTTTTCAATTATTCATTTAAACATAAAATCAAAAACAGAAAAAAAGAATCATTATCTGTTTTTTCACTTTGGTTTTGGAGACAAATAATGAAGAAAACAGTTGTTTTTTCATTTTCTTACATTTGGTTTTATATTGAAAAATGAATAAACGAACGATACACGGATTCTCGAGACTTTCAAAACAATGACCTCTGCTTTCAGTGAGAATCCACAATCTGAATAGTTATGAAAATGAGGTTCAAGTGTGTTCAAACTCTTGACCGGTCATGTTTGTCTTTTAGAAAATTCCCCTGAGTATGATGGAGCAATCGGTTGACGACATGTACGACGGCTGCAGCGAGGCGACGGCTGAAAAGGTCAAGAATGAATACTTCCCCAGAGAGATGAATAATAATAAGTTATTCAAAGATGCGTGGAAGGATAAAGAGTCCTGTGCAGAAATAAAATATAACACAAGAGACAACACTGCACTGACCAAAGACCAGATCCATGCTTTGTGCATCTACACTGGGGATGTCCCTAAGGTCTATCAACCCTTTAATAAAGCAGTTCGAGAGAGTGCAGCCTATTATAAAACTAACAGCTTCAAATACCACGCTTTACACTACTGGCTGACTACTGCTTTACAGACACTTAACATTGCCAAAACGTGTTATACCACCTACCACAGAAGCAAACAAACATTTACAGGTCAACTCAACCAAGTCATCCGATTCGGTTATTTTACCTCCACTTCAACCAATCCCAATCTGGTACACTTCGGTACACAGACTTGCTTTCACATTGAAACCTGCTTAGGCGCGCCCATCAAAAAATATTCGGTAAATAGAAATGAGGATGAGGTGCTAATCCCTCCCTATGAGACGTTCAAGATCACTCATATTGAGGAGGGTAGCGATCCGAAGTACTGTAAACAGATCTTTGTTCTGAAGAACGCAGGGAGCGAGAGTAAACTCAACTGCGCGACGGCTCCACCAAAGCCACCAAAGCAAGGCTGCTACAAAGCCATAAAAGCCATGATTGGTAAGGCATTTTCTGGGTGCTCGTGAAGTGACAGAGTATGTGAATGAATCGGCTCATTTCAACAGTTCCTTACTGTGAACAGCTGGAACCGGATCTAATTTTTTAAAAGAACCAAATCTTTTTCTTTTTAATTTGAATGCATTTTTACACTGCGGATGTTTGAAGTGTGAATATCTGTTTGACCAAACACACTGTTCCTTATACCTCCAGATCTCACTGTCTCTTTTAGTCGTCTCCAGGTCCTGCTCAGTCTAGCAGCTTTATCTCAAATGTGGTTGTGGGCAGAGTTTAGGTGTTTAGTTCCACTTAAACTGTCCTCACTGAATTCATACAATGTAAGAGCAGCTTGCACATATAACATGCCATAAAAAAATAAAATGCTCATGAAAGAATGTTATCTTGTTTTGTCTTAATTTGATGCCTGTTTCATTTACTTAAATAACTAATAAATAAACAAATAAATCATCATTGTCTCCATATCAGATTCATCTCCATGTGAAACACCGGATTTTAAATTAAATTATTAATTAATTAATTTTAATTTAAAGTGTAAATGAAAGGTTTTCATGTTTAGTTTAGTCTTTGTTTGGTGTTAATATACATGGAGCTTCTAACACTTGTGGATCACTGATTAAGATATGATGAGTTTGAGTTTTTCTCTCTGAAAAACTGGACTCTAAACTCTCTAAACTTTAGACATTTTCAAAATGTCTAAAGTTTAGACATGTCAGACTCAGGTCTGAGGGCCAAATATAGCCCACAATATAATTATATTTAGCCCATGAGATCATATTAAATGTGTATTAGAGCTGCCCGTCGACTACAGATAGACTATAGAGACATGATTTATTTACAATTGTGTTATTATTTTATATTACACGACTTACTCCCAGTTTTTAACTTTGGTCCTCTGTGAATTTGAGTTTGACACCTCTGGTCTAAACTATGTCAAAACTTTGGAACATTTTAAATGGAAATGGATAGTTTTAAGACATACTGTTGTTTGAGGTTGCTTAAATAGTAGGGGATTAAATAAGGTCAGACTTGGTCCTGTCATGTTGAAACACTAATGTGAACGTGAGGATGTTTGTGTTTACCTTGTATTTTTACTTGTGCATGTGCACAGAATATGATCATGGTCAATAAACTAAAATGAAAACTAATAAACGAAAACTAATAAACTAAAACTAAAACTAAACTGTGGAAGATTATTGCCAAAGGAACATTTCCATGGAAACAAGCAGGAGGAGGGTATTTCTCCCAACCTGTTTATGGAGCCGTAACAGTGACAACATTTTAAAAAACAAATATATAAAAAATAAAAACCTTCACATATTTCACTGTAATAAAATCTGGAAGTTGATATTGCATAATTCTGTCAATGGTTTATTGCACCAACAGAGGAAGGATGACAGGGTAAAAGCTGGTTACTCTTTGTAAGAGCACATAGTCATGGTATGGCCACTCTGTGGTTTATAAGCAGCTCTAGAGGAATAATTGAAAAACTCGTCACGTTGAATAATTAGGGTAGTTGGTGCATAAGGAAAGTAAGAAAATAACTCTGGATTGGTTAAAATTAACTAGTTCTGTTTTTCATGTTTTTTCATGTCCGTAAATATCAGGCACAGTGCCTTTAATTAGACCTTTAGTATCTGGGTAAGTTATAGCTATTACAAGGTAAGTAAAGGTAGTTATTTCCCAATTCATGATTTTGAAGCCATAACATTTAATATGTTTTGAATTTGAAACTTGATCAACACAAAAACAAACAAACAAAAAAAAATATCTATTCGATTTGTTAATCAGAGTGTTCAAGAGCTTAGGGCTGACCACAGAGAAAGCCCTGTCCCCTCTGGTTTTAAGTCTCATTTTAGGCACCACGAGCTGGAGCTGGCCCTCGGTCTTCTGAGCGCACGCGGGGGAGTGAATTTGGATGAGGTCCGAGATGTACTGTGGGGCCAGTCCATTCAAAGCTTTAAAAACAAGGAATAAAATCTTAAAATCAATTCTAAAACAAATCAGAAGCCAGCGCAAAGATGCTAAAATCTGGTACCAGTTAAAAGGCACACAGCAGAATTTTGGACTAACTGTCCAAAATGTAATTATCAAACTATGTGGAGTTGTTTTACAAAAACAGACACCATTTTGAAGCTCTGTATCAATCTCTGTTTGAACCACATCTTAATTACTGTAATATCCTATAGTGTAACGTGTCTCCAATCTATCTAGATAAATTCTCCAAAAGAAACTGACACAACCATGATATGTTCTTGGTCTTCTATGTCAGAAACGCTCCACCTCCTTCAGCACGTCCTCTTCCTCATGTCCTACAAAGAACTACAAAATAAGTTTGCCTCTCCAAACATCTTCAACCTGACTAAGCCTCACACTCGTCCCACTCTCTGTGCTCTTCATCTACTGTTCTGCTACTCTCCCTCGCTCAGACTTGGCACAACGGGAGGTTGAGCCTTCAGTCGCTCAGCACCCAGACTCTGGAACACGCTCCCTCTTCATATCGACAGATAGGCAAGGCAAGGCAAGGCAAGTTTATTTGTATAGCACAATTCGTACACAAAGTAATTCAAAGTGCTTTACAGAATAAGAAATACATTAAAATCATAATAAAAGCAAATCAAAACATAAATAATCATGAAGATTAAAATTAAAAAAGAGAGACATAAATTGGAGAGAAGAGTGCGGAATGAAAACCTTTCAGTCATATGCACAGTCAAACAGAAATGTTTTGAGTCTGGATTTAAACAGCGTCACAGAAGAGGCCTGTCTCACATGTTCAGGAAGACTGTTCCAGGTTTTAGCTGCATGAACCTGAAACGCTGATAGAGACATAAACACAACCACAACAATCATACGTAATCATGATAATGCAGCAGTAATTCATTTATGGACATGTGTTGTATGACTGTATGATCTGTCTAACAAACCGCTTCCAGACTGTTTCCATGAAGCAGGACAGGGACAACAGTCTGTCCCCAAAGGTGCTCTCCTGTCCGGTGATGGTGCTGTGCATATATTCCAGCTCTCAAACTCAAGCTTGGTCCTGCTTCCGTTGGGCATGTTGGAACACTAATGCGAAGGTGAGGATGTTTATATGATTGGAAACAAGGAGGAGGCCAAAGAGACAGGTTTGTGGAGATGCAGCCCACTCAGAGGAAGGACACATGTTTCTGTTCTTATGTTCAATTAAAATAAGAAAAACATGAACTATATATAATTTAATGTTTAGATTTTTATAAATCTCTAATACTTAGTGTTTTTCCCCTACTTATATGCCTACTATTAGAGTAATATGAATTCAAAGTAAAGAATAAAACGTTGGGCTCCTCTACCAACCTGTTTATGGAGCCATAACAGTGACAGGATTTTTAAAAACAAATATAAAAAGAATAAAAACCTCCACACATTTCACTGCAAAAAATCTATTCAATCTGTTCATCCAGTGTCATTTCAGAACCTCAGACAGCGCCACATGCAAAACACTTGACAATGCTGCCATCTGCTGGGTCTTTAAAATGATCAAAACATTTCTCGAGATGTGTTTGTACCAAACAAGCAGGAGGAGGCCTTTCTCAGACCAAATAAGAGTCAGATCTGTGGAGATGCAGCCCACTCAGAGGAAGAACATTTCTTTTTTAGATCTGCTGCTTCAAACAAAATTGAGATTTTCATTTCACTGACCTTTAAAAATACTACATGTTTGCATTATTTAATAGTTGGATTTTTATAAATTAGATATTAAATCCAGTTGACTCCTATAATTACTAGAGTAATTCAAAGTAATGAATAAAGCTTTGGGCTATTCTACCAGCCTGTTTATGGAACCATAACAGTAACAGCATGAAAAAATAAATAAATAAATAATAATAATAATAATAATAATAATAATAATAATAATAATAATAAATCAATAAATTATTAGAAGAATAAAAGAATTAAAACCTCCACACATTTCACGGCAACAGAATCTGGAAGTTGACATTGCATAATTCTGTTTATGGTTTGTTGCACCAACAGAGGAAAGATGACAGTGTAAATGCTGTTACTCTTTGCAAGAGCACATAGTCATGGTGTGGCCCAACTCTGTGGTTTATAAGAAAACAAAATATAGATATGTCAATTTGATACTTTTCACATGAATTACTGGCAGAAATATATATATATTTCATAAGTATAGTTAATGAAGAACTTACTAAAGAAGACATCTGGTTTAAATGCAATAAATAATCTCTAAATATGAATAAAACCCATTATGTTTCGTTCATTTAGTCATTAATAATTATCAAAATATGTTGAGTTGTTTTACAAAAATAGACCCTATCTCTCTCTTGAAGCTCTTATAACTCTGTATCAATCTCTGTTTAAACCACATCTTAATTAATATAATATCGTATGGTGTAACACGTCTCCAATCTATCCAGATAAATTCTCCAAAAGAAAGCGATAGGACCATGATATGTTCTTGGTCTTCTGTGTCAGAAACTTCTCCACCTCCTTCAGCACGTCCAGATTTCTCCCACTTGAATCATCACCTGCACAAAGTCCTCAGATCACAGATCCAGAACTCTTCCTCATGTCCTACAAAGAACTACAAATAACTTTGCCTCTCCAAACATCTTCAACCTGACTGAGCCTCACATTCGTTCCACTCTCTGTGCTCTTCATCTGCTGCTCTGCTCCTCTCCCTCGCTCAGACTCAGCACAAAGGGAGCTCGAGCCTTCAGCCGCTCAGCACCCAGACAGATAGAGACATAAATACAGCCGCAACAATGATGCATAATCATAATCACAATAATACAGCAGTAATTCAGTTATAGACAAAGGTGCTCTCCTGTCCGGTGGTGGTGCTGTGCATATATTCCAACTCTCAAGCTCAAACACTCTAGTTGGGCATGTTGGAACACTAAAGTGAAGGTGAGGTGTTTGTATGATTGGAAACAACCAGGAGGAGGCCTTCCTCCAGGTCAAATAAGAGTCAGGTTTGTGGAGATGCAGCTCACTCAGAGGAAGGACACATGTTTTTCTGTATTCTTGTGTTCAATGAAAACAAGAAAAACATGATTTTAATATAAACATTTTTGACAAAATGTGACATACTTCATTGAATACTGTCAACATAAAGCTTCTAAAAATTTGTGTTTCTTGATCTGCTGCTTCGAACATAATTGAGATCTTCATTTCACTGACCTTTAAAAATACCACGTTTGCATTATTTAATGTTTGGATTTTTATAAATATTACGATTGCTCTAATACTTGTGTTTTTCACCTATATGTAATATGAATACAAAGTAATGAATACAATGTTAGACTCCTCTACCAACCTTTTTATGGAGTCATAACAGTGACAACATTTTAAAAAAAAAACAAATATTAAAATAATAAAAACCTCCACACATTTTTCTGCAATAGAATTTGGAAGTTGATATTGCATAATTCTGTTTATGGTTTGTTGCACCAACAGAGGAAAGATGACAGTGTAAAAGCTGTTACTCTTTGTGAGAGGACATAGTCATGGTGTGGCCAGACTCTGTGGTTTATCAGCAGCTCTAGAGGAATAATTCCCACTGTGTTCTGTCTGCATCAAATTATAAAGTGTTTTATCATTTGATAGTCAAAGTAATTGTTGTCAACTTCACAGTAAACTCTGCTAATCTCTGAAAAACTGAACACAGTGAATAATAAGGACAGTTGGTGCATAAGGAAAGTGAAGAATTACTCTGGACTGGTTAAAATGAACTAGTTTTTAAGTTCCTGTGTATGCTAGGTTTAATATATTTTGTCTTTGTTTTTCTATAGAAATAAATGTTTTAATTTTTTTATATTTTTAAAGTGAAACTGACCCAAAGCGCTTATATTTTAATCAGAACAATTCTCAGTTTATTTTGTTGGGGGGGGGATTGGAACATAACGGAACATAACATCTGAGTCTGAATCGAGTCTGGAGTCACGTGATCGGATCGGGACAACCCTAGTATTTGGGTAAACTATAGCTATTACAAGATAAGTAGATCTCACCTTGTTAAATTATTCTCCACTTCATGATTTTGAAGCTATAACATTTAATATGGTTTGAATTGGAAAGTTGATCATATCCCTCTTAGATATTTAAGGAGGAAATAAGGAAGTTGAATAAATAGAAGAAGTCTTCTGTTTGCTCCACAAGCTTTTACTGACAGAAGATCGACTGAAGACCTCTCGATTCAAAAACACGACCATATCATTGGCCATTAGACATGACTGCATCACAGTCTCTCCATCTTTCCATCTATTGTCCTCGTACCATCAAAACTGCTTTATAAACTGCATGAGTGAATAAAAGGGTGTTTAAACATGCTCTAATAACAATGAAGTCGCTCTCTGTTACTGTTTAATGCAGAAGGTGGAACTACTGTGTTTTCTCCAAGTACAAAAAACAAAAAAGAGGACCAGTTTACTCATAATTCTTGAATTGTCTTAACTTTTTTTTCAAATCCTGAGATCTACAAGTAAAGAGTCTGAGCAGAGGCCCAAGGTGTCTCCCAATCGCCCGGTTTCTCAACCTCTGAACCACTTCCTGCACTGTAACAAATGTCCTGTAAATTTGACAATAAACACCTGGCAATTCTGTTGCCAGGTGTTTATTGTATTATTTCAGTAAATTACTGTAAATTGTATTTACAGGTAAGAGCTGGGAACACTTTACAGGTTTTTGTTGGGGAATTTTTACAGTTATTCATTGGTTTGAAGTTTACAGTAAATAATTGCTCAGCAGCTTACAGCAAAACCTTGTATACCACATTTACAAGTATTACCTGGCAATTTTGTTGCCAGGTGTTTATTGTTATTATTTCAGTAAATTACTGTAAATCATATTTACAAGTATTACCTGGCAATTTTGTTGCCAGTAATTCCCTGTAATAAAAAAAATACAGCTAATCAATGTATTGTCATAAGAATAGACTCAGAGCTAAAATGCATTCAAACATTTATTTTAAAAAAACAGTTAACACAAATACACATTAAAATATGTAAACAAAAGATGTAACAAAATATTTAACACATGTAATCGACAGTTGGACATGAGCTGATGTATAAAGTCCATAAAGAGCCTGAAGAGAAGAGACGTGAGGATCCTTCAGCTCTGTGTGAGCTGCACTCAAGTCCTTTAGGCTCCTTCTAGATCTGTAGTCCTGTCTGTGTTCACCTCATGAAACATCTGCAATCACAAAACACACAGGAATCAAAGGAGGTAACAGCAGTCTGTATTATTCTAATGTCATGCAGAAATGCTCACCTGTGAAGTGCAGTGGATGCAGTGAAGAAGTGAGTTGAGCTCAGACACAGAGCTGGAATGTGACCTGATCTTAACTGATCAGTGCTCAGTATAAACCAGGAGACCTAAACACAAACCATCACATTTTATTATTAGAATACACCTTTAATATTTACACTGAGAGGAGTGACAGAAAACATCTGTGCTTAATGTTATTATAATGACCTCAACATCCCACCACTAAGTGTGTACATGAATGACATGTTCACCAGTCCAGTGTGCAGGAGGCTTCTAGTGAAAAACAGACAGCTACAGAGGTGAGGTCCTCAGTCTCCAGTGTCCACCTGGTCTGGTGACACCTAAACAAATAAATACATATTTTTTATTAAACATGGTGTTCCATGTTTTTTGACATGTTTGGCCAATTCTTTAATTTAATCACAAGCCTACCTTTACTTTACTCCAGTGCACAGTGGACTTTTATATCCGTGCTGATGAGCCAGCTCAGTTCATGGTGAGATAAGACCTGGACCTGGTCTTCTCTCTTCAGTCCACCAACCTGGTGTAGGCCAACTGCACTGACAACTTCACCTGAACAAACACATTCACATTTGTATCAAACATAGATGTGTAAAGCCTGAACTGGCAATATGCTTTTGTAGCTCACACTCACAGTAAACACGCCTAAACATATTCAAAACATTAATAGACTGACATAGATTTCTTTGAAACACATCACGTGTGCACTGCTCCACTGCTCCTCCTGCCTGCTCCGGTGTGTCCGCGGCCCCGCCCCGCACACACCTCTTTCCCTCCATGACACATGTTCTGAACCAGTGCCCGCATTCACTGTTCACATGTAAAACAGCGGCTCAGCCCGATCACCTCTGATAACTACTGACTCTAGTGCGATACGCCCCACAAACTCCTGTTCTCCCGGAGTTTTACGACGCTGCGGCCGGTGTCTGTGTTGTTCCCGCACACTGTCGTATCATTCCGCGCTCTCCTCGGTTCACCGCGGCCTCTCGTGTCGCCACACCCGCTCTACCGGAGTGTTCATGTGTCGCAGTGTTACCGCGGCGCGGCCTCGTCTGGACCCGGGTCCGTCCGGTTCAGCTCGGATCACCGACACCGCGGTGCCTCGCGCGCAGCAGCAGCTCGGAGATGAGCAGCACCGGGCTCGAGGGAGTCGGCCATTTTCCTCACGTGCTCATGTAAACAAGCCTATACCGGTCTAAATGCGCATGCGTGAGCACAGATAACAGCGCGGTTCTGTTACGTTTAATAGGCTACGTTTACGTCTAAGTGCGAGACTTCTTACACAGACACAGAAACAAACAAATAAGCTATCCTACATACTGTATTACAACGGGGGAAAAATATTAAAATAACTTAAAAACAAACAAACAAACAACAACAAAACAACAGGTTACTTACTCTTTTGTGGAGTGGATGGACCAGTGCATTATCCCGATGAGCTCCTCTTTGTCTCTGCTCTTCTTAACTGAATGTGTGTGGTGTAGAAACATTTGAAAATACAACATTTACATGTAATATCCTCCCATCTACAGTAAAGCACAAACTAATTTTAATTTACAATAGGCTGTTGTAGAAAAATTTCTTACTAACTGTAATATTTTTTTTGTCCCACAATGCATTGCAATCTACAGTTATGACATGTAATTTGTGAAAGCAAGAAGCATTTGTAAAAGTCACTGTAGAAACTACAGACATTTGTTAGAGTGTGTCATCAACGGTGTTGAAGTTCCCCCAAAGCCCTCATGCCCTCCGCACTTGACCTCCATTTGGCTCATGTACCCAGCATGCACCTGTGGATCCTTGGCCCACTTGGAGTGCTTGAAATTGCCCACAATGCACTACAACTTTCATTTTTTCATTTAAATAAAAATAAATATCATTACACAATAAAAAAAAAGGAAATATTCTGCTATTTTAGCCACATTGCTTCATGTAACACTATTATCAATTTCTAATTGTAGCAAAGTGAGCAGAATCTTTTTAAGAACAGGACTGGGGACCAAATGGTCATCTGACGATGTTTTAGGCTGTGCATTTATTTATTTATTTATTATCAGCCTGAATCACTCAATAACAGATGATTTACTTTGCCTTTAATCTTTTAATAATTGATAGTGATGCATAAAGACATTTGTGAACACTTTTCATTTGTAGTATTAATAAAAAAAAAAAAAAGTATTAATGTTTATTAAAACTCAGGGTTTTCTTGCTTTTGATCCAGTCACGTGACATGGCGCAGTCGCTCCCTCTGGAGCCTGTTCCAAATGTGCTCCCAGACACTTGGTTCTACTTCGGAGGAACTGACTTCAGAGGACTGTAATAAAGTGGTCTTTCAAGGAAGGATCCTAGGAATTGAGAAACACCCCCACACATTTCACACACACTTCCTCCAGCTCTTCTAGTGGAAAACTGAGGCGTTCCCAGACCAGCCGAGAGACACGGGGTGTTTCCCAATCCCCAGGATCATTCCTCCAAATGCGAAAAACATCAATGCTTCTACACGTGAAAAGTGTTCAGGAGAGTCTTTATGTGTCAACATGCATTAAACACGTGAATAATGAAAGCTGAACGAATCATCAATGTCTCAATGAATCCATGTTCTTGAGTGATTCAGGCAGATCATTAAATAAATAAATGCACATCCTAAAAGATGAGGGTGTGAGGGCTCTGGGGGAATTGGAACATCACTTAGTAGAACTCTGATTATGTGGATTTCTCCGACGTGGTTCAAAAGCAGAGGATCCTGGGAATTATGAAACAGCCAGAGTTCCTCCGGTGTGTCCTGGGTCTCCCCCAAGGCCTCGTGCCGGCGGGACAGGCCCGTTAATTACACCAGAGGTGTCTATACTTTCAGTTGCTACTTGTGTTGTGTACTTTGTGTTCTTTTTCAAAATGTCTGTGGAGAAAGACAATTTTACAATGTTGAGCTCCATATAAATAAGCTCTTAAAATGTAAGGCTGATGTTTGTGATGTGGACATTGTAAATAATGTGGTTAAACACTGATGCTCTGAAAACAATTATGTCATTCTTTGTTCCTGTTCAACAAATAAGGAAATGCTGAAAACAGAAAAAGTCCAACTATTTAAGAGCGGAGCTGCACTCACCTGCAGACAGAGACCCGACTCGACCTGAGGTAACAGCAGCAAGTTTACTCTATAACCCAGATATGTTGTTTTACATTATTCTTTGTGCTTTAGTTCACAGACATGGAGACCACAGTGCTGGCTTTGATGCTTTGTCTGGTGATGACTTCTTTTCCAGCGGTAAGGATTTTTATTCAGATTATTGTGAAATAAGTCTTGGTTTAAGGATAATATTTTATTTCTTTCTAAAATTATCTAAGAGTCCAAACAATTACCAACCCAAATCCTCCGTTCTATACTTTTATTTAAAGAAACTGTATGTTGCCTGCAGTCTTACAGTTTGAACTGAACACAACTGAACCTGGGCTTTAATCTGCAGATTGAGGACACATACAAGTTCTCCTCATTGTCAGTATATGGACACATACACTGAGCTGCAGAGGCTGCAGTGCTGGGGTTTAGGTAGTGACCGTTCAGATCAGAGAGACGCATTTTAGATTTAAAACAACTGGATTTCAACTTTGAAACTGCAAACACAACATGTTTTTTTGTGTAATTTATAATTAATCGGCATTATAATTGGTACCAGTAAAAGTCATTTTTGATTTGAACACATCTGCCTCATAGACATGTTCAAATATACTTAGGCCGTGTTTATGGGATTTAAAATCTAAATCTTACACACAGTTCCTTTCTTCTTTTTCCTCTTAAATTGTCCAGGAGTCTGTCAAAATTCCCCTGAGTATGATGGACAAATCGGTTGACGACATGTACGACGACTGCAGTAAGGAAATGGCTAAAAAGGTGAAGAATGTATACTTCCCCAGAGAGATGAAGAATAATACGTTATTCAAAAGTGCCTGGGAGAATAAAGAAAAAAATGCAACTACAGAATATGAAAAAAGCCACAAGACACTGACCAAAAAGCAGATCCAAGCGTTGTTGGTCTACACTGAAGAGGCCCCTAAGGTCTACAAACCCCTTAATGTAGCGGTTCGAGACAGTGCAGCCAAATATGGCACTGATAAATTCAAATACCACGCTTTACACTACTGGCTGACTACTGCTATACAGAAACTTAATAGTGCCAAAACATGCCAGACCACCTACAGGAGAAGCCCCAGATTGACATTTACAGGTAAACTCAACCAAGAAATACGATTTGGTCAATTCACCTCCACTTCATTCAATCCCAATCTGATAAGTTTTGGTACCATCACTTGCTTTCAAATTAAGACCTGTTTAGGCGCTTCCATCAAAGACTATTCGTCCATTCCTAATGAGGACGAGGTGTTAATTCCTCCCTATGAGATGTTCAAAATCACTCAAATTGTGGAGGGTAAAGACTATGGAAAGTTGAAAAACTGTAGAAAGATCTTTGTTCTGAAGAGCACAGGGAGCCAGAGTAACCTCAACTGCACAGTAGCTACACCTAGACCAGGCTGCTTCAGAGCCTTAAAAGACAGGATTGTTAAATTTTTTTCTGGGTGTTTGGGAAGAGCCAATCATGAATGAATCGGCTCTTTTGAACGGTTCCTTGCTGGAAACAGCTGGAACCAGATCTAATTTTTTAAACAAACCAAATTTTCTTGTTTTTACACTGAAAAAACAGCTAGATAGATTTGCAGCTTTCTGGTCAAAAATGCCTAAATCTAAGTGTGTGCTGCTTTCTGTGGCATCTGCAGTTTCCAGTAGTTGGTGACATCACAAAAGCCAGGTGTTTTTATTTACAAACAGCTGTCTGCGGGGGACGGAGTTTGAAGTGTGAAAACCTCTTTGACCAATCACAGTGTTCCTTACACCTCCAGACCATCCTCCTGTCACTCTCCTTTTAGTCGTCTCCAGGTCCTGCTCAGTCCAGCAGCTTTATCTGAAATGTGGTTGTGGGCAGAGTTCAGGTGTTTACTGTCCTCACTGAATTCATACAATGTAAAAGCAGCTTGCACATATAACATGCCATTAAAAAATAAAATGCTCATGAAAGAATGTTATCTTGTTTTGTCTTAATTTGATGCTTGTTTCATTTACTTAAATGACTAATAAATAAACAAATAAATCATCATTGTCTCTATATCAGATTCATCTTCATGTGAAACACCAGTAATTTAAAGTGTAAATAAAAGGTTTTCATGTTTTTCTAATTATCACTTTGTTTGGTGTTAATATCAAAAAAGATTCTAACACTTGTGGATCACTGATTCAGATACAGTATGTTGAGTTTGAGTTTTTCTCTCTGAAAAACTGGACTCTGTTGACATTTTCAAAACCTCTAAAATTTAGACATGTCAGACTCAGGCCTGAGGGCCAAATATGGCCCACAATATAATTATATTTGGACACTGTATTAGAGCTGCCTGGCTACAGATAAACTTATTTCAAATTGTGTTATTATTTTATTTTATGTTTGTTCTGTGTTGAAACAAAACTATTATTAAACATTTACTTTAATACAAAAAGGATAAGAAAATATTATATATCTTGAAAGAAGAGAAAACATGCAGATGTTGTTGAAATTTTTCAATAAATATTTAGTTTGGCCCACGACTTAGTCCCAATTTTTTAATTTTGGTTCTCTGTGAATTTGAGTTTGACACCTCTGGTCTAAACTATGTCAAAACTTTACAACATTTTAAATGGAAATGGATAGTTTTAGGACATACAGCTGTTTGAACTTGCTTAAATGTTGAACTAATGTGAATATGAGGATGTTTGTATTTAAATCAGATGAATAAAAAACCTCCACACATTTCACTGTAAAAGAATCTGGAAGTTGATATTGCATAATTCTGTCTATGGTTTATTGCACCAACAGATAATAAGATAATAAAAGATAAGATGACTCTTTAGTTTTTGCAAGAGCACATTGCCATGGTGTGGCCAGACTCTGTGATTTATAAGAAAACAAAATATAGATGTGTCAATTTGATACTTTTCCCGTGAATTACTGACAGAAATATGTACAGAAATAATGTTTTAAAAGAAGGAGAAATTACAAAATAACAAAAAGAAATAACAAAATGAAATAACAAAAAGTATGTGAAGTATGTGTGTGTTTTCATATATATATATATATATTTTTTTGTCAAATCGTAACTATTGCTGTGTGCTGTTTACTTTAACATATTGATTCAGAGCTGTTGTAAATTACAGATCTGATACTCGGAAGGTTAAATATTTTTTTGGACAATGTTAAAACCCTCTCAGGCTCAAATTAAGTTTTAGTAACAGGAAAAATCTGATATTTGGGGAAAATGATCATATGGGATCATGATCATAAATGTATAAATCATAAATTATCATAAATTATAAATTATACATCATCAATCACAAATCATAAATTATGATCATAAATGATCATAATATACAATCCTGACTTTTTTTTCAGAGAGACCTTCACATCCAGTGTGTTCTGGGATGTTGCAGATTTGCAGCATTAGTCTGGTGTGTTAAATTAACACTGAATACTGAGAATGATATGATCGCTAACTTTATTTGTATACCACCTTTCATAACAATGAAAACAAAAAGCACAGTGTAACAGCTTTACAGTGGCAGAACAACATCACTTTTTCGTGTGGTTCTCCAAGAAACAATTTTTATCCATTGTAAAGCACAAAAGTACTTTACACTTCTGACAGGCCGTTTGTGTGTAGCCATTCTTGGATAAAAGGCTCCTGAGTAAAAAAGGCTCATAAAATATGGATGTGGACTAAGTAGGTAATTGGCATTTAGCTGTTGCAAATCTGCAACGCCGGCCTGGAGAGGGTTAAAGTTTCACAACAACTTGGCTGAAAGACAGTTTTGATCAGTTCCGTGATTGATACATTAACCGTGCCAATCTGAGAACTGAAGTTATAATCGGCTTATAATTGGCAATGGAAATGTGAATGTATAAAAACGTGCTATCGTTGTGTGCTCTCATGCAGGTTTTGGTATCAGTTGTGACCACAGCTTGAGTGGAGGAAGAGTGGAGGTGAATGAGTCTCACCAGCAGAAGGAAGCAGAACTGAACAAGTCACATCAGCTGGACTGGAAGATGAAAGAGATGATGTGTGATAGCTCAACACCAACTGATGAAGCTGAAGTGCTAGAAATTATAATGAGGATGAAAAGCTAAATAAGTTTTACTCATATGTAGATAAACTATATAAACGTAACACTGACCCAAATCTTCTATTTAAATCAGAACAATTCTCAGTTAATTTAGTTGACAACTGACACAGACATGAAATGTATTCTATTTTGAATTAGACTATTACTATTAGACTATTACTAGAACTAATACTATATACTACTAGTAGTTTTGGGGAAAGCTATAGCTATTACAAGATAAGTAAAAATTTCACCTTGTTAAAAAAATTCCACTTCATGACTTTGAAGCCATAACATTTAATATGGTTGGAATTTGAAAGCTGATCAATACAAAAACAAAAACAAAAATCTATTCAATCTGTTAATCCAGTGTCATTTCAGAACCTCAGACAGCACCACATGCAAAACACTTGACAATGCTGCCATCTGCTGGGTCTTTAAAATGACCAAAACATTTCTAGAGACGTTTGTACAAATTTTATGAAGAGTCAAAATGAAAAGAAAATTGGAAACATACGTCATAAATTACAGAATGATGAAATAAGACTGTGGAACTGAAACATTTTTAATCTAATTATTATCAAATTGTTAAAAATAGTAAGTGATTAACTTGGGTCTTTTTAATTGACATGCCCACATACCAGTATAAAGTACTAAATAAGAGTAATGTTACTTCAAATTAAATACAATAACTAGTGGTCCAAGAGTAACTGAGAGTTATTGCTGGGACATAATATGTGATTCATAATTTTAAGTAAATGTCAGTTTAAGAAAATAAATAAATAAAATAAAATAAATAATAATAATAATAATAATAATAATAATAATAATAATAATGTATCAAATCTGGTATTTTCAAAGGACGTATGAAAGAGCGGTGCAAAAACACAAATGTTCGAATCATTTCATATTTTCAGCAAAAAGCTTTTGTCACTTGTAGACTTACTCTCAGTGGGAAGAGCATTTAGTCAAGTAAAAGTACTGTTACTTCAATTAAAAATATAGTTCAATTAGGAGTAAAAGTATTCTGCAAGAAAAGTACAATTTCTTTAAAAAGTGAGTCAAGAAAATGTACCTGAGTACGACCCAGCTCTGGTTCTAAGTTCATATTTAGTGGCCAGCGCGTTGTATTTCTGTACACTCTTCACTTTTAAACTGTGTGAAGTTTCATGTTTATTTCAGAAAGAGGAGCAGAGTGGACAGAGATGTGATGAGTAATATGTAGATTATGTGGGACAGAGAATGTGACTGCTACATTTTAACTTGGTGAAAAATAATTTATGATTTTAAAGAATATATAAATATGACCTGTATGTGTCCCCAGATATGAGGTAGACATGTTCCAATCAGTTATAGATTTTACTGGTAGCAAATGCAGTTCAGACATATTTTCAGTTACAAAAGCATTGACATTATGGCAAAGTTATAAGTGTTAGAATTTTGCATTTTAGTTTCCAAGATGATGATCCAGTCAGAGCAGAATGAGCCTTACAACAGTCTCTCATTTGTGTTTCCACTTTCAATGCTGAAATCCAGTTGGTTTAAAACTCAAAATGTCTCTCTCTGATCTGAATGGTCACTACCTGAACACACGCCATGGACCATGAAGTCACGAAGCAGTGCTAGTGCAGCCTCTGCCACTCAGGGAGGGAATTCTGGAGGTTTCCTGGAGCATTGAACTGTACGGACTTACTTTCACCTCTGTCAGTACCCACAGTAATGATAATACAATTATTTCATGATGCCACAACACCGTCACCATGAAGTGCACAATGAAAGTGAAAGAATAAATAATTGTCAGGCTCATCAGGTGAAACTGAAAAAAGGCCAGGTGAGGGGACGGGTGAGAGGGGAGGGAGGAACACATCTGCCATCTACTGGTCAAAAAAAACAAAAACAAAAACAATAAAAACACACAGACAGCGGAAAGGCGGTAGCTTTACATTATTTAATGGCATACTTAATTATTCTTTTAATTGTGTATTTTTTCATATTGTCTTATGTGGACATTGCAAATGAGGCTGGTGTGGTTAAACAATGATGCTCAGATAATTATTATGATTATTTATTTATTTCATTCATAAAGCATAAAAAGAAATCGACAGTTTCACAACATCAGACACACAAGAAATGAATGAAAAGGAGCAGAAAGAAGAAAAAAAATCTTATGTTATCTGCCCCCCTTTCCTTTTCCAAATAATACATTAACACCGATGGTTACTAAACATTCCATATCAGTTCAGGCACAATTACTGATCACTTGCAAACAGTAATCTTCATTATTACACACAACAATTGATGTTTTTTAAATGTCAT